ATGCTTGGTCAATTTCCCTATTATGCAAGAGGAGAATGAGATTCTCAAGAATTTTCAGAAATTGACACTAATTTGATATCACTGGGGCTGGCCTTTCAATTTCACTGTAACCTCTGCCCACATACCAGATTATCAGAGAAAGGAAGAGTTGCCAACCAGCAGCTGCATGAGGTGAAGAAATCTGCAGGGAGGAGAGGTTGCTGGGATGGATGTGGTGACTCTGCCCTGTGGATGTTAATCGGAACCCTGTGGGGATGGGTTGTGGGCAGAATAAGAAAACTTTGTTGCACCATGGACTGTGAGAAATTAGGGCATCAAGTGAAGATGCTTTGGTGCTCAGTTGGATTAGATGTGACATAAACTGTAGAGCAAAGGTTCTCCCCATGTTTGTATAGAACTAAAGATAACTTGCACTCATTCAGATCTCCCTGGGCTATAGCCCCTCCAACATTTCAAGGGCATTTGTGCTCCTAGACTCCACAGAGAGAGATTCTGATAGAAATTGGGATGGGGGTGGGAGTAGAGGCAGATCCTAAATTGATGGGGTCAAGAACACTAACATTGTTTTTTTTATTGATAATTATAATTTTAATATTTATATCCACAGGCTGTTAACAATCATTTTTCTAATATGTGTGAGACAAGCAGGCGAAAGAGAAGATTCATCCTAGAGGAGGAGATTCTTTTTTTAAATTTTTGTAAGTGTTTTATTTATTTTTGAGAGAGAGAGACAGCATGAGCAGGGGAGGGTCAGAGAGAGAGGGAGATACAGAATCTGAAACAGGCTCCAGGCTCTGAGCTAGCTGTCAGCACAGAGCCCCACGTGGGGCTCAAACCCATGAACGGTGAGATCATGACCTGAGCTGAAGTCAGACACTTAACTGACTGAGCCACCCAGATGCCCCAAGGAAGAGATTCTTAATAAGGGCAGCTGAGAAGTAATATTTTCCTTTATAGACATAGTTTAGAGAGGGATGAATTTTAGAAGTAGATTAATGGACAATTGTGGGTTAATACCCTTGAGGTGAAAATAACTTGCTCAACGTTTATTCATTTTCCACAGCTGGTGTGCAAGAAAGGGTTAGTTAACTCAGCAGGACTGGGCTGCTCAAATCCACACACTCCAAAGAAAGGCCAGTCTTCAGGACAAGCTCTTGACTGGATCCTGGGAGATAATCTCTGAACCTTTAGAATATTCTTCTGGAAGGGTGCCTGGGTGGCTCCATTGGTTAAGCATCCGACTTCAGCTCAGGTCATGATCTCACACTTCCTGGGTTCGAGCCCCTCATCAGGGTCTGTGCTGACAGCTCAGAGCCTGTAGCCTGCTTCAGATTCGGTGTTTCCCTCTCACTCTGCTCCTCTCCTGCTCACACTCTGTCTGTCTCTCAAAAATAAATAACCATTAAAAAGATTTTTTAAAAAAGAACATTCTGCTGGATAAGAGTGTTTTTTGCGTGAAACTTGGACTATGCTATGTCAGTTTGATCTCTGGGCATCTAGAGTCCAAGTAGTTGAGGTCAATTACTCGGACACTGTATCCCTATATGACTAACCCACAATAGAACCCAGACTCAGATTTGCTGAGCTTCTTGGGGGAAAAAAATCAATTCAAATGAAGCCACAAAAGAAGGGTGAGTAAAACAATTCTAAGCTGGAAAAATATCAAGGAGAAAAAGTGAAAACTGATTTGAACACCCAGGCAACCTACATGTTGTTATATGTAAAAGGATCAAACACTTAAAGAGGTTCATATTGGCCCAGTTTAAGCTAATTTGGTCATCAAAAATACCCCTACCTACAACACAAACACTTGGAGATGTAAAAATTCCTAAGCATATAATGATAATAACAATGATATAAAATGAAACAGAAGACTACACATACTACTTGATAACTATCTAATACAGTTATAACTATCTAATACACCAATTCCTTACTCTTAAAATGTTACCTAAAGGAAAAGATTAAATAGTCTTTAAAGTTAGTTCTGCCTTATACATTTAGAATTATTTAACCTTCTTATGAGTTGGCCCTCTTTATACTAAAGTTTATTACATACTATACTTCTATAACTATATCATTTTCTTTTTTTATTTCCATGATTAATCTTTTTCCCATCCTTTAATTTGAATCTTTATACATATTTGTTTTAGGTGGATCTTTCATAAATATGACATAGATTTTTTTTCCAATTGGTAAATCTTTGTCTTTTAATAGAACAACTAATCCATTTATGTATTTTTAAATTTAAAAAAGTTTTTTTTTTATTTATTTCTGAGAGACAGAGAGAGGCAGCGTGAGCAGGGGAGGGTCGGAGAGAAGGAGACACAGAAACAGAAACCGGCTCCAGGCTCTGAGCTGGCTGTCAGCACAGAGCCCGATGTGGGGCTCGAACCCACGAACAGTGAGATCATGACCTGAGCCGAAGGCAGATGCCTAACCGACTGAGCCACCCAGGCGCCCCTATGTATTTTTAAATTTTATTGTGAAAATGTCAAACATAAATGAGAGGAAGAGTAGTGTAATGATCCTAATATACACCAAGAAAATCATCAGTTGTTGACATTTTGCCATATTTGTTTCATCTATAGCTATTGTTATTTCCCTAATCATCAAAAAGTGAATACATCAAACTTGTGGCTCTTCATCCCTTATAACCATGAAATTCAGAGGTAACAACAGTTTGTGTATTCTTAAATTTACTCATTTTTGAAGGCCCTTTATAAGTGACAAAATATGAAAGCAAAATTGCTAGGCTTCTTCTCAGATTTTCAAAATTACTAGTTCCTTTTCCTAAGTTCAAGAAAAAGGGAAGGAAGAAAGAAGGGATGAAAGTAAAGTAACAAAGAAACAAAGATTAAAACACTTAAAAAGTGCTATTATTAGAGATAATATGATTCTACATAGAAAATCCAAATACTTTACCTATGTATTGTTCAAATAAGTGAGAGAATTTAAGAATATTGCTGTGTGTATATTAACATACAAAGTCAAATTATATTCTGTTTACAAGCAACAAACATAAAAGGAACTTAAAAGATACCGCTTTTAAAGAAAAATACTCAAACATAAATCTTTTTTTTAAAGTTTTATTTATTTACTTTTGAGAGGGGGAGAGTGAGAGAACCCCAGCAAGCCTGAAGCTGGGCTTGAACTCAGGAACCATGAGATCCTGACCTGAGCCAAAATCAAACTTTAAATTGGAAAAGCAGAACTCTGGTAGTGAAATAAAGTTCTTTATGTCTTTGAAAAGAGAGGAAAAAAAAAAGAGTTGGATGCTGAACCCACTGAGCCACCCACGTGCCCCTAATATATAAATCTAACATAAGATATGCAAAAATTTTAGAGATTCTTGAGTGGCTTTGTTGGTTGAGTTGTCTGACTTCTGCCCAGGTCAGGATCTAATGGTTCACTGTGTGGGAAGTGCGGAGCCCAATTTGTATTCTCTGAGCCTGCATTGGATGTCTCCTCCCTGCTTCTTCCCCTTTCTCTGCCCTTCCCTCTCTCTACCTCTACCTCCTTTTTCTCTCTCCCCCTCCCCCACTCATGTGCTGGTGTGCTCTCCTTCTCTTTCTCTCAAAATAATAATAAAAAAAGAAAAAAAGATATATAAAATTTCTAAAGGAAAAATGATAAAATTTTCATTCATAGACATTAAAGAAGATGTACATAGTAATGGAGATAATATTATGCTCATGGTTTGGAAGATTCAATATTATAAAGCTGATCTACGGATTCAATGCAATTACAATCAAAATCCCAACAATGTATGTATGTGAGTGTGGTGTGTGGGTGTGTATGTGTATATGGGATGACATGCCTATTCTAAAACCGATAAGAAAATTCAAAGTAGCTAAGAAAATCTTGAAAAAGAATAATGCTAGGGAACTTGCCCACAGTCCCCACCCCCACCCCCAAGACTTCTTTAAGGACTTCTCTATAAAGATACTGAAGCTAAAATCATGTGGTATTGGTGAAAAAATAAATAAATAGATTAATGGAATAGGACAAAGAGTCTATGAATCAACATAATTGTTTGAAGAACAATGGAAAGGATCCAGGTAAGAGTGAGTGGGTAAATATTCATGGAAAAAAGGGCTAAATAGCTGAAGTTAACAAGATGGCTCAGAAAAACAGGATACAAACTCTGAGAGGAAAGATAGCACCTAAATAGGAGATGATGTCTTTTGAGAATGAAGGGGAGGAAAGGTTGGACAATGGAGAAGAGTGAGGATGGTGTGAAACCGTCATCATTCAGAGTAAGAGTGAGGTGATGACAAACTGTAACAACATGGCCGAGCATATGTAAGAATTAGTGAGACTCATCACCAGAAATGTGCCACTCATTAAATAGAAAACATGAGTGCGTTGTTTATCTTTCCAAGTGCAAGCACAGAGAAGGTAAATTACACGAGCTCGATAAGAATTAAGGTAGTATCAGGTAATTATGGATAAAAGGAGAGTAAGTAGGTAAGGATGGCAAGGATGTTATGAAATTCCAAACTTTGGAATGTAAGTTGTAAATGGAGAGAAATGAAGAAAAAAATAGATGGATTGCAAGAAAAGATGGATGGAGTCTCTACAAAAGTGTTGTCCAACTTTATCTGGTATTCCTTATCACCTCTCCGCCTAAAGATGTCTTTATGCTTGGTCTGAGGACAGAAGTCAGATTTCCCATCAAGCTTCTCACATTATGCCGTCAACAAATTGATTCTACTAGAATTGTGGTTGGTAAATTGATTGCCTCCCACTGCACTTGATTAAAAAATAAAACAAAATAAGTAAAACAAATGCATAGTCGAAACAGGGCAAAAAGAAACCCAGGACCCATGCTGATGTATATAGCTAATAGAATGTCTCCCTGAAAGGTCTGTTTTAACCAAATATCAAAACCTTGAGCTCTTTTGCACAGCTTGTAAGCAAATGTTAACTTGTGGATTAGATTTACATTTTACTCACAAAGAAAGAGAAATGGTGGGGAGGCCAAGAAGAAGGCATAACAAAGGTTTATTTTGTAGCAATGGAATCACAACTTCCTGGTTAGAGATGAACTTGACTGATGGCTTTTCCGTGGTAGCCTCCCAGTACTTAATCTTAGCCAAATATTAATGTGCTGAATTTATTACATTTGAGCTCTGAAATTGAAAGTGACCATCTGTGGCACATGTGTGTGGTACATAGAACAGTAATATATTGTGGACTAGCCCAACATGAAGCAAAGGATATGGTGATTGTGACATGGCAAACCAATTCACTCACTCACCAAGACCACTAAATGAATCTGATGAACACTGGTGTCATTGCTCTCCACAGATATCTGCTTTCTGAAACAATGCACAATAAACAGGGGATATTTATTAATAATTCCTTCAACATATCGCTATAACAGACTGCAGTATAAATCTGGAAATGCACTTTACTTCACTGAAACAGAGCAATCAACTGAACAAAACTAAATTCTAGAGGAAAAATATCACAAATGTCAAAAGAAGTACAAAGAAAAAGTTTCTTTTTTTTCCTGGAGAGCAAGACTACAGTGAAGGTCAGCATTGCAAACCTTGTTCCACTGGGATTTTTAGGCAGATGTTAGGATTAAATTAGGGAGGTATCTGCATACATTTTGTGACCAAAGGAAAAACAATTCACATTTTCACTAGGAAATAGAATCCATAGGAAATTAACTTTTGCTACAAATCCAAAAGAATAGGATTTACATTACAAGGCAGAAGATGTAAATGTTTACTAAGAAACTCATCTTTTGGTAAATTATATATAGAGCACCCTAAAGAAGGAAAGGGTGCAATTTGTGAAGAAGTGAGAACTACCATAAACAAATGGATATATTTGTTTATTTTAAATGAATTTTTATTCATGCTTTGCATCCAGAGAAAAGAAAACAATTAGGTTAAAATTAATTTTGGGAATACCATGCTATCAGTATTATAGCAAGGACTTGGCTATGGGATTGGGTTGTGCATACATGACTGAGTTTAACTAGTTTGACAGATGAAGTCCATAGCTGGATAAGATATGTTGTGTCAGGATTCTAAAGAATTAGGTAGCCTGGTAGTTGTTTCATAGCCATAAACTCTAGAATGTCCAAACACTGTCCTGTCAGTCATGTGGATCTCCTTGAGAGATTCCTGAGGACACTCTATGGAAGGAAAATTAGTGGAGTAGGAATCAAAGTATTACCTTATTACCAGCTGCTGAAGAACTTTAATATCCTCAGGTTCAGTAAACTTGGCACTTCTGGAATGTTTTGAAAAAAGGGGAGAGGCTCAGAGATCCAGAGTAAAAGAGAGCATTCAATGTCTATGTAGCAGAACAAAGACGAATTTACTCGTTATTTTGCATTATTCAGTACCCTTTCTGTTATTAGTGATAGAAACCCAATTCACACTGAAACAGAGAATATGTTAGGTGACTAGAAATATAAATGGCTAATGAGCCAATGAAAGTATTTTATTCTTATAGAAGAAATTAAAATTAAAACAATGAGCAATAAGATCTTATTGCCTCTAAAACTGAGAAGCTGCTTATAATAGAGAGAATGTTCACTTTTGTGTAATGTGGTATAAAATCTTCAGGAGATCAATTTGCCCTGACAGTGGAAAATTTTAGGAATGTATCTTAACATTTATTCATTCATTAAATAAATATTTTACCAAGTATCTATTATAAGCCCAGTGGTTATGATCAACAAGATAAGATAGACATTACCAAAAATCAGGCATACTAAAAAAGTAAACAGGGGCTCTTGGGTGGCTCAGTTGATTAAGTGTCCGACTTTGGTTCAGGTCATGATCTCTTAAATTTGAGCCTCATGTTGGGCTCTGCTGACAGCTCGAGAACCGGGAGCCTGCTTCAGATTCTGTATCTCCCTCTTTCTCTGCCCCTCCCCTATGCACTCTTTCTCTCTCAAAAATAAATAAACATTAAGAAAAAAATGTTTAAAAAGTAAACAATGTAAATTTGCAATTGTGGCAAGCACTGAAAAAGATTTATATGGAGTTAGAGGTGCCTATAAGGGTAAGCTGACAGTCTCAGAGTTCTAATAAAATTTCCTAACATTCACCTATCTGTAAAGCATTGAGTAAGTAAATGCTTACTAAGTAAAGAAAAGAGGCACCTGGGAAATGTAATCATATGTACAAATAACATAAAGAAGGAAAGGGAATGCAGAATATAAAGGCCAGTGTATCAGTTAGTATAGGCTCTACTATGCGACAGTAACAAATAACCCCAAAGTCTCAGTGATTTAAATCAACAAAGATTTCCTTCTCACTCAAATTTTATAACCAGTGTGAATTGACTTTCCTCCAATTATCTCTGCTTCTTGTTCATCTCACTAGGGAATACATTCTAATAAAACAGCCAGTATCTGGAATGTTAGTTACCAATCACCATGGGAAGAGGAAAAGGCTAAAAGGTCATAATTAGTCACATGGCCTCAACCAATCACAGAGGGGTCCAGGGAGTGCACTCTTGCCAAGTGCAAAGAAGCCAGAAAGCTGGAATACTTCAAGAGCACACTAATCACATGCCCAGTATGGTTGGAGCTGAGAGAGTGAGGAAAATATGAGCCAGAGTAAGAAAACCTATCTTTATCCTATTAGAAGTAGAGAGTCACCAAAGGTTTTCACTCGGAGGAATTTTCCTTAAGAAGAAAGAGCATGTAGTTACATTAAACTTAATCTACAAGCTTATTTACCACAGTAGTGTTCAGTAAAATATTTAAATGAGAGTAAATCCTAAGTATTCAACAGTAAGTTCTTCTCATCCTTATCATGTAATACCATATAACCAATGGAAAGAATGTATTCAGAAAAATGTGACATGAAAATTATGTCTGAAGAGTATGCATACATTAGGGTACAACATGACATCTACCTGTTTTTAAGTACCCTATATTTAGAATATGTGGGTTAAAACTTACATATATATGAAAAAGCAATTCTTACTTCATCTAAACTCATGTTTTTAAATTTTATTGTTTTCCTTATTATATGTGCTTTATTCATGTGCTAATTTTTGCAAAGAAAATACATTCTTTTTCAGTAGAATTTTTTAGCTAACCATGACCTTATTTGCCACTGTTCAAAAATAAAGATCTTCTCTTTTTCCATTGGTGAACATGGCTAGATTTTCTGTTCATCTCTTGTAACATATGTAAAAGTCATGTTTTTGTTGTTTCAATTCATCTGAACACTCTGGAAACTGTGTTTATATTACCACAAGTTCACACACTGTTTCTAGTTAGAGAAGATACAACATTTGTTCCCATTTTTTCAATTACCTCTTGCCACAAGCAGCCTCACGATTTGAGTTCTGGGTTCTGGGCTGACCTGGGGCAATGGAATGGCAAACTTTTTCCGTATCCAAAGTAACCAAATAGACTTCAGGTAGGAATTCTTGAGTCCAGTCAAGCACCCCCATTTCTTGAACAATAATGACCTCATGAGAAACTGTTCTGCATCCACCTTTTTGACATTCTTTTGGCTAGGGTGATAGAATGGTCATAACTGCCAGTAATGGATCAAGAAAAATACAGCATATGTATTACTGACCATAATAAGAGTACATATATCGCTGGCGAATCGGCTGCCTTATTTTACTTTCTTACTCCATTGCTGGACATTTTACAGGAGAAAGTTCTCTGATTTTTCAAGGAAAAAATTGGCACAAGATCTCAAACCATATTTCATCTCTGCTTCAGCTTCCAAAAAAATAAATAATCTATTTGACCAGACTTTATAGACATTGGCCAAATGTTGGCTTGAATGCTGAGCTTATACCTGGATGGGCTGATACATCTGACACAATTGGGTTACCTCAAACTGGGCCATACATGAAAGGCTTGAAAATGTTTAAAATTGGCCAGGGATGGGAACACTCCCCTCGGAAGTGTGTTGGTGAAGCAGTAGATTTGCACTTCTTGCAGGGATTGTTTTGTACCTTTGTTGTAAATGAGTTTGTTTTTATTCTTTAAAGGAAAAAAAAGTTAAAGAATAAGGTAAGAATTTCATTACAATCATTGGAACCCAGCATTTTACTTATCCAAATTACTATTTATGAATTCCCATCCATGGGGCCTATGTGGTCTGCCATTTTGGCTTTTATGACTCTTCACAACATTTTGTATATCAAGAGGCTTCTGTTTGAGCTGATATCTCATGATGAGAAAGAATTTGGGTTTTTTTTCTGTTTTTTCATGGGTGGTTATTTTCACACAGAGGTCTCCTATTTAGGTCTGGTGAATAAAAATTAGATCTGAAATGAAATGAAAGTCAAAATACAGGGTAATTGCTAGATAGAATAGCAGAATATTCTTTTTAAGTAGGCTTCATGCCCAGCATGGAGTCCAACACAGGGCTTGAACTCATGACCCCAAGATCAAGAGTGAACATTTTTCAAATGACATCTTTTTTGAAAATACTGTCTGAATCCTCTTCAAGCAGTACAAAGTAGATCTTTACTTAGTTTTATGACAGTAAAGCAAAGCTAAGGCTTTTGCAAATATTGTCAAAAGGAACCTGACTAATCAATGTGAAAGAAGATAATGAAAGTTTGAGTCAATGAGGAAATTAAAGTTAGAAAAGGCAAGTTTTCAATTTCTATTTCTCTTTTCTTTCATCATAAGAATAGAAAAAATCAGGGGAAACATCAAGAAAAGATCATGATTAGCTCTATCAAATATTTATAGTTGCTTAGAGGCTACTCTGTGAAAATATAGATGCTGTTCTTTGAATGAAAAGAAACAAAACCCAAAATATTATTAGAAACAAATCCCTGGCTAAAATCTCAGAAGGGGAATTTACAATAGGTGGATCTCAGCAATGTGACGAATGTGGGTAGATTTGTCAATGTTTAATAAGTACACTAAGATAAAGTCAGGTTCAGCTCATGGCGGGCGTCAGATACCATTAGAAAGTAGACAGAATGCTAGTTATTCTGGCAGAAACAGAGTAAGGGTTTGTTCCAGCTAAGATATCAGGAGAACCCAAAGTCATATCAAACTCTCATGGGCAAATGAGGACAATAGTAAGCTCCTGGTCCAGGATCTGAAGAGTTAACAAGAATATAATTGAAAGGAACCAACACACACACACACACACACACACACACACACACATACACACACACACACAGAGTCTTAAGTGATTATTTGAACTGAGATTCTATAAGGGCTCCTCCATTCTCATGAGAATAACTCTATATGCCTATATGGCACAATACTCTAAATTTATCTGTCACCAAACACAGTGGTTAAATTCAAATTTTTATTTTCAATAACTGTTTCTACCCAGAGAGACAAGTGTCGAAATCTCAAATTCTGTGATCTTGTTAATTGCATGCCTGTCTTATCATGGTTTTTCTACTGGACTAAGCTAGGTAAACTCTCCTGTTTTATCACATTGTTTTACAGTTTTATTTTCATATTCATATTTATAATATCCAATAAGTTACTTGGGAAAATTTACAATTTTAATTGTGCATTTCTCATAGTATCTATTCTGTGTGTGTGTATAAAATCAAACTAAAAATTCTTTCTTTGATAACGCCAATGAAAAATTTCAAGACAACCCAGCTATCAACACCAAATTTTAGTAAGAAGATACAAAAATCCCCTATTTCTCTTAAAATCTTACTGTATAGCACTAAGTTTCATAAAATCAAAGGCTTCAAGTTGGAAGTTACTTAAGAGCTCGCCTATGATGTTTTTAAATGTCCACAAATTTTGTATACTTTTTCCATCAAAAGTGGGATCTATGTCTTCCTTCCATGCATCTACATAGAATTCTTACTCACTTGCAAAAACTATAATGTAGGAAAAGTGATGTTTCATGACTTCTAAGACAATACAACTTCTATCTTGAACACTAGGACACATAAGATTCATATCCCTGAGACACCATGTAAGAAGCCTAACTATTCTCATGCAACCATGCTGTGAAGTCTAAAACACATAAAGAAGCTACAAATACATGCTCCAGTGGGCAGTCCCAGCTGAGCTCTCAACTAGTTACCAGAAAAACCTGTCAGCCAAGTGAATAAGCCATCTTGGACATCCAACCCAGTAAAGCTTTCATAAGGTTGCAATTGGTACATAACTTCATATGGTTGCAATTGGTATATAATGCAACTGCATGAGAAACCCCAACTGAGAATTGCCCAGACAACCAAGCCCTTCTGATTTCCTGACCCACAAAAGGATGAAGAAAATAAAATTTTTCTTCTGCCTTTTGTGTTTTGGGGTAATTTGTTATGTAGTGATAGATAATTGATATACCATCTGATGCAAAATCTCCACTCTGGGGTGAAACTTTTGGATTAAATAACTCTAGTAAAGGGGACACCCTTCACATGTTAGCCATGTTTGGGATAACTCTAGTCTGTTTCTCATATCAGACCAAAATTGTCATCTCTCTAACTTCAAACTATTATTCTAGATTAACCTTCTAGGTCAGCATAAAACAAATCTTTGGTTTCTTCAACACGGAAGCTTGACACGTAGACAAAAACATTCTGCAAATATCTCCTTGGTCTTTTCTCCTGTAGGAAAACAATGCCCCATTCTTTCAGACTTGCCTCAGAAGATATGATTTTCAGAATTCTGTGTGCCTTCCTTTGAACACACTCCAATTGGAAAAGTCTGTCTTATAATATAATGCAAGAAGTTTGACACTTTATTCTATAAGTCTTCTCACTTGAACAGAATTTGGTGAAGCTGTTATTTTTTATGGTCTCTGTTGTGCTAGACCCAATATTTCATTAATGCAACTGATGATCCTGCTAGCCTATTTTTCTAACAGCCACATCACACTCTTGGCTTATTTTACAGTTGTCATCAAATGGAAGTCCCACAACTTTGCCATCTGTACTGTAGCCAAGCCAGCTCACTCTCATGCAGCTGACTTTCTGACCCTAAACAGAACTTGAAATTTGTTTCTGCTTAATTTCATTTCATTGGTTTTGGACCAGTGTGTCTCTGTCAGTTGACATCACTTTTATGCTCGGGTGTATCACTTATAGTTTCAGTTATGCATCCCACCTCTGCATCTCCATGTCTAAATTCTGTCAAAATTATCTATATAAAGACTGAGCCAACAGGACTAAGAGTATAGCCTAGTCAAATTCCATTATAAAACTATAAAACCATTTGCCAACACATAGCAGGTAAAAGGCACTAAATATCAATAACTTTATCATTCAAAGTACTTCTTAATCATGATGTTCTTGCAAAAGGCATTGTCACATGTAGTAATGTGACTGAAATAATTAAAATGTATTTTATCCATGGAATTTTCTGTTTTCTAGAGATTCTAACAAAATGAGAAATCTTGTGAATTTAGCATGACTTATCTTAAGTGAATGTATGCTAGCTCCTAGAGATTAGATATAGTATTTCCTTTGGGAGATAAACTACAGGCATGGCAATGCATTCTAGAATATTGTATTAAGCTAAAAAAAAAAAAAAAGAAAAGGCAATGATTTCCATAATAAGTTTATAAGTTTATTACCATTTTAAGGACAAAGATATAATGTTCTTAGTTTACCAGCAATCTTGTTCCTTTTTCTTTCTTAAAAATTAGAGTGTACCTATCTTATACTAGCAGCTAATATTTATTAAATAATTGAACTGATTAATAAATGAATGAAAAACACATAAACTGTTACATTCTTTGGTTGTAGTTTCTTCATAGAACATTATGAAGTTATCTCACTCATTTATTGTTCACCTTACATACAGCTCTCTGTCTACCAGTTGCCCATAAGTGCATTACACCATGTCTGCCTTTCCTCAGTACTGTATCCACAGTGCCTAAAATACTGCCCCAAACATAGTACACCCACTTCATGGGAGGATATGAAGTGAAGAACTAGAAAATAATCAGTCAAGGCCTTAGGTCTCAAATTCACTCAGTTACTCACTCAATATTATAATTTTCAGTCTATTCCTCCCAGTTAGAAAAACCTTTTCCTTAGTGAAGATTGATAGGAAATAGGCCTTGAGTTTTCTCTCTGTTACTTGTCAATGTATTTCTGAGAAACACCAAATCTGATCTTATTCCTATGCCAAATATCCTTTCAAAAGTAGGTGTTTTGATTCCCCGCAGAAGCAGTATTCTAAGCAAGCAGTTTATTTTGGAGACAACCCCATGAAACACCAGGAGGGAAGATGGGGAAGTAAGTCAGGCAAAGGTGGGATGAATAGTTTAACTCTTCCATCCGCATAACATTGAAAAATGCATCTTTGCATCTTTGCAATTGAAGCAGTCATTCATATTGACCTCAAGAGCTTAGTGGAGTAATGAATGTTTCAGTGACTTCATAGTTCAAGTGTTTTCCCCACTTTCTCAAACAAAATCATGTACTCTCTTCAGCATTCTTGAAAAGATTGACTTTCCCCAGACATAGCAGCAGGCTGACATAGATTTAAATGGAACATCTGTGTGTATCTGACTTTGACATCTATTATTTCCCTCACTTTGCCTCATGATTTGTAGTAGACATGCTTCTGGAATTTGTGAATTAGAAGAAGAATGTAAATATACACAAATGTGTATCAAGCATTCTATAAAATAATTATAAATAACTTATAATTATAAATAATTATTCATTTCAATTAAACTATAAATAATTTATAGTTCTATAAAATAACTATAGGATATTCAACAGCATAAAAAGATGATAATTAGGGGTTTTCATCAAATAAAAAATAATTTCAAGGAAGTATACATAATATGAACTCATTTTTATAAAAATGTGTGTGCGTAAATATAATATAGAGTGTATAGGTGGTCAGATTTGGGGTTATTTGCTTTCCTTCATTCAATTATGTGCCTGATTTACCTTTTCAAAAACAAAATCACATTTTATTTTGTAGTAATAAACAAGCAAAAAAGTGTGGCAATTGATATAAACAAATATCCAAAATAAGAAAGCAGACAAATTAAAAGATATTATTCATAGGTCCCTATATGACAAAAAATATCCTTAGTTTATTAAAGAACATGTCATCTACCACTGATTACCATAATAAGAAGTTACCATTTTTTCTGTTAAACTATGACTAAATGATCATAAAATGGGACTAGTTCATGTGTATTTTTAAATAAAATTCAGGATACATAATTTAGCCAACCCACAATTTTCCACATAAAACAATGTTTGAAAATTTTGGATACAGAGAGAAAAAAAAAAGGTGCTAAGAATTTCTATTAATTTATTTTATTTCTGGTCCCCTGATTTTGAGTGTTTTCTCTGATTAAATACAAAAAAAGTACAAGTACAAGAAACTAGGTAAACATAATAAATTAGTTTTCTCCAAACTAGTAATTGATATTTATTTGTTTGTTTGTTTATTTGTTTAAGTAGGCTTCACGCCTAGCACAGAGTCCAATGTGGGGCTTGAACTCACAACCTAGAGATCAAGATCTGAACTGAGATCAAGAGTCAGACACTTAACCAATTGAGCCACTCAGGTGTCCCATAGTAATGGATATTTAATAGACATTATCATCATCATACCCATCATCATGCCCCATCACTAATGAACAACATTTCCAGATAATAGACACTATAAATAGAATATGTTCATGACAGATTACCTGGAAATCTTTCTGAACCTACGATGTAGTGTGTAGCCATCCAACAAGATGGAGCAAAAGGAGTAAGATGGCAGTTGGCAGGGCCAGTACCTTTATGGAAAATAGCTTGGCAGTTACCATGCAAACAATTGTGTTTGAAAACATTCCAAAATTCCTCTCAAATTCCAATATAACCTCCTTTATCATTAGAGAGCCTGAAATCAATTGCATCTTGGATATAACAGGTATCCTTTATGACCTCTTTCTTTGTGGTTTGTCATCGTTCACTGCAAGAGAGACAATTTTAGGGGTTAAAGGAGGGGGAAATCATTTTAATTGATATACCATAGGTAAACAGTACCCATTACTGGGTTTTCCACTTATTCTCAATTCACAACTTACAAACTACAGCAGAATATTTCTGTCATCTCCACATTCTTCCCAGAAATTCTATTAACTATTCTGTCAATATTCTAGCAACAATTCAAAATTAAATACATTAGAAATTCAGCTCAGTTACACTAGCCAAGTTTCAAGTGTCCAATAGGCAACTGTAGCCAGTGGCTACCACACTGTACAATGCAGACATGGAACATTTCCATAATTTCAGAAAGTTATATTCAACAATGCTAATCTGCATATCAAATACTGTCTAGCTACATGTTAAGACCTAATGAAAAGCTCAGATTTTAATGACATCACTAGTTTGCCACGAATTTCCATATCTGCCTTACAAAGTAGTCAGTATAATTTAAGGTAGATTGGTATGCAACTTGTTGCTAAAATATTCAGCTCTGTTGCCATGATCTCAAAGTCTTCTATAAGTATGTCCATTCTGGGTAACCAGAGTTTGGATGAGCAAACAAATCATTCCAAATACATAACAAATCATTCCACAATGTAGTAGCCTAAAAAAGCAGAAATCACTCATTCTCTCTGCCCCTAAATTGGGTCAGAGTCTCCAGTGAAGTTGTTGTCAAATGTCACTTGGGCTGCTGTTATCTGAAGGCTCAGTTGACCTGGATGATCCTCCTAATGTGACTTGCTCAAATACCTGGCAAGATGATTCATCTCCATGAGACTTTGTTAGTGTCCTCACAAGGTGGTAGCTGGCTTCTGGTAAAGCTACAGATACAAGATATTGAAGCAAAAGTTGTAATACTTTTTATGACCTACCCTTGTGTATCACACACCATTATTTCTATCATATTCTATTGATTACACAGGTCAGCCCTGAATGATTCAATATGGAAAAGAAGTTCACTAGAGCATGACTATTACGAGCCATCTTAGAGGCTGGCTACCATACTCAGTCAGCACCATTTCTTGCTAGATACAGGGGTTGAGAAGAGCAAGCAGAAAACATTACTAAGAGGAAGTTAATCACACTGCCTCTGGTGCCTGAGCATATTTTGCCTAATCCCAAAAGGAAGCTTCATGTCTCACTCAGCCCTTTATTTTTCCTCAAGTGATCAAGAAGTTGGAACACTCCAGCCTACTAACCTTCCCATAGAGAACATATTTACCACATAAGGGGAGGAAACTTTACAGCCTTAGGCCTTCATTGGTTCTGAATCTTAGTCACAAAATTGAATGATTGTAGATCTTAAAAAAAAAGGGGGGGGACAAAACAAGTCAATTGATACATAGGTCCCACCAGAGATTCTAATGTCACTGATCTAGATGCGACCAAAGAAGTAGATATTTTAAAATCTTCCTAGACGGTTCTTTTTTTTTTTTTTTTTTTTTTTACAAATAGTTTATTGTCAAATTAGTTTCTACATAACACTCAGTGCTCATCCCCAAAGTGCCCTCCTTCATGCCCATCCCCCCCTCCCCCCCACATCCATCAGTCCTCAGTTTTTGTCAGCATTCAAGAGTCTCTCATGGTTTGCCTCTCTCCCTTTCCCCCACCATTTCTGCCCTTCTACTCCCCCTTGGTCCTCCGTCAAGTTCCTCCTAATCCTCCTATACGTGCAAACATATGGTATTTGTCCTTCTCTGCCTGACTTATTTCGCTCAGCATAACACCCTCAAGGTCCATCCATGTTGCTACACATGGCCAGATTTCATTGTTTCTCATTGCCATGTAGTATTCCATGGTATAGATAAACCACATCTTCTTGATCCATTCGTCTGTTGATGGACACTTAGGCTCTTTCCATGTTTTAGCTATTGTGGAGAGTGCTGCTATGAACATTGGGGTACATGTGCTCCTATGCCTCAGCATTTCTGTATCCCTTGGGTAAATTCCTAGCAGTGCTATTGCTGGGTCATAAGGGAGTTCTATTGTTAGTTTCCTGAGGAACCTCCACACTGTTTTCCAGAGGGGCTGTACCAGTTTACATTCCCACCAACAGTGTAGGAGGGTGCCCGTTTCTCCACATCCTCGCCAGCATCTAGAGTTCTCTGATTTGCTCATTTTAGCCACTCTGACTGGCGTGAGGTGGTATCTCAGTGTGGTTTTGATTTGTATTTCCCTGATGAGGAGGGATGCTGAGCATCGTTTCATGTGTCTGTTGGCCATCTGGATGTCCTCTTTGGAGAAGTGTCTGTTCATGTCTTCTGCCCATTTCTTCACTGGGTTGTTTGTTTTTCGGGCGTGTAGTTTGGTGAGTTCCTTATAGATTCTGGATATTAACCCTTTATCTGATATGTCATTTGCAACTATCTTTTCCCATTCCGTTGGTTGCCTATTAATTTTCTGGGTTGTTTCCTTGGCTGTGCAGAAGCTTTTAATCTTGATGAGGTCCCAACAGTTTATTTTTGCTCTTGATTCCCTTGCTTTTGGGGATGTGTCAAGTAAGAAGTTGCTGCGGTGGAGGTCAAGGAGGTTGTTTCCTGCTTTCTCCTCTAGGGTGTTGATAGTTTCCTGTCTCACGTTCAGGTCCTTTATCCATTTTGAGTTGATTTTTGTGCATGGTGTGAGAAAATGATCTAGTTTCATTCTTCTGCATGTTGCTGTCCAGTTCTCCCAACACCATCTGTTAAAAAGGCTGTCTTTTTTCCATTGGATATTCTTTCCTGCTTTGTCAAAGATCAGTTGGCTGTATACTTTTGGGTCCACTTCTGAGTTCTCAATTCTGTTCCATTGGTCTATGTGTCTGTTTTTGTGCCAATACCATACTGTCTTGAGGATGACAGCTTTGTAGTAGAGGCTGAAGTCTGGGATGGTGATACCTCCCGTTTTGGTTTTATTTTTCAGTATTACTTTGGCTATTCGGGGTCTTTTGTGGTTCCATACAAATTTTTGGATAGTTTGTTCTAGTTTTGAGAAGTATGCTGGTGCAATTTTGATTGGAATTGCATTGAATGTGTAGAGTGCTTTAGGTAGTAATGACATCTTAACTATATTTATTCTTCCTATCCATGAGCATGGAATGTTTTTCCATTTCTTTGTGTCTTCTTCAATTTCCTTCATAAGTTTTCTATAGTTTTCATCATACAGATCTCTTGTATCCTTGGTTAGGTTTATTCCGAGGTATTTTATGGTTTTTTGTGCAATTGTGAATGGGATCAGTTTCTTGATTTCTCTTTCTGTTGCTTCATTATTGGTGTATAAAAATGCAACCGATTTCTGTACGTTGATTTTGTACCCTGCAACTTGGCTGAATTCTTGGATCAGTTCTAGTAGGCTTCTGGTGGAGTCTGTCGGGTTTTCTATGTAGAGTATCATGTCATCTGCGAAGAGTGAAAGTTTGACTTCCTCTTTGCCAATTCTGATGCCTTTGATTTCCTTTTGTTGTCTGATGGCTGATGCTAGGACTTCCAGCACTATGTTAAACAACAGTGGTGAGAGTGGACATCCCTGTCGTGTTCCTGATCTCAGGGGGAAAGCTCTCAGTTTTTCCCCGTTGAGGATGATGTTAGCTGAAGGCTTCTCATAGATGGCTTTGATGATGTTTAAGTAGGTTCCTTCTATCCCAACTTTCTCGAGAGTCTTTATTAAGAAGGGATGCTGTATTTTGTCAAATGCTTTTTCTGCATCTATTGACAGGATCATATGGTTTTTATCTTTTCTTTTATTGATATGATGGATCACATTGATTGATTTGCGAATGTTGAACCAGCCCTGTAACCCAGGAATGAATCCCACTTGATCTTGGTGGATGATTCTTTTGATATGCTGCTGGATTCGATTTGCAAGGATCTTGTTGAGAATTTTTGCATCCGTATTCATCAAGGATATTGGCCTATAGTTCTCTTTTTTTGCTGGATCTCTGTCTGGCTTGGGAATCAGAGTGATGCTGGCTTCATAAAATGAGTCCGGGAGTTTTCCTTCGACTTCTATTTTTTGGAATAGCTTGAGAAGAATTGGGATTAATTCTGTTTTAAATGTCTGGTAGAATTCCCCAGGGAAACCATCAGGTCCAGGGCTCTTATTTGTTGGGAGATTTTTGATCACTGATTCGATTTCTTCACTCGTTATGGGTCTGTTCAGGTTTTCTATTTCTTCCCGTGTGAATTTTGGTAGTGAGTGTGTGTTTAGGAATTTGTCCATTTCTTCTAAGTTGTCCAATTTGTTGGCATATAATTTTTCATAGTATTCCCTGATAATTGCTTGTATTTCTGAGGGGTTGGTTGTAATAAGTCCATTTTCATTCATAATTTTGTCTATTTGGGTGCTCTCTCTTTTCTTTTTGATAAGCCTGGCTAGAGGTTTGTCAATTTTGTTTACTTTTTCAAAAAACCAACTCTTGGTTTCATTGATCTGTTCAATTGTTTCTTTGGTCTCTATGTTGTTTATTTCTGCTCTAATTTTTACTATTTCTCTTCTTCTACTGGGTTTAGGGCGTTCTTGTTGCTCTGCCTCTAGCTCCTTTAGGTGAGCTGTTAGATTTTGGACTTGTGCTTTTTCTAATCTCTTGAAATAGGCCTGGAGAGCAATGTACTTTCCTCTTAGGACTGCCTTGGCCGCATCCCATAGATTTTGAATTGTTGTGTTTTCATTTTCATTTGTTTCCATATATTTTTTAATTTCCTCTCTAATTGCCTGATTGGCCCATTCATTCTTTAGAAGGGTGTTCTTTAACCTCCATGTTTTTGGCGGTTTTCCAGACTTCTTCCTGTAATTGATTTCAAGTTTCAAAGCATTGTGATCTGACAGTGTGCATGGTATGATCTCTATTCTTTTATATTTATTGAGGG